TAATGTTCTATTACTTCCTTTAATTTTTCCTTTTTTAAAAAAAGACCACATGTAAGTTATTTAAACTACATTAGTTTCACAGAAACATTTTTCTAATCAAGAAATCAAATATTTTACATTGTGCCTTACTGAAACAAACCTGAACATCAAGAAGTAACAAAAAAGACCCCAGATATTTATTCTCAACATTTTAAGCAGTTATAAGTCTCTGCTCTAACCACTTCCCACAACAAACATATGTTTCTTTGCTCAAGGTTTAAAGCAGCACAAATCTCTGAGTATAAACATAAATACTTTAAAGGTAATTTAGCACTTGGCCATTTGCAAAACAATTTGAAGTGGTCTCTCCCTAGAGCCCATGAATTTAAAAGTGACACATTGTTGACCAGATTTAAAGTACATAAGCTATCTTATTGGAGCCCATTCCCTATGGTGGGATGCCATGCTCAGTTTTAATGCATGGGAGAGGGGTGCAGCCCTGCTTAAACCTAATTGACTATGTTGACTCCTCATGGGAGCCCTTACCTGTAAGGAGGAGTGCAGTGGGGGTGGGCTAGGTGGGAGGTGAGGAAGGGTAGGAGAAAGTGAGGGGGTGGGAAGAGCTAAGGGGGAGTGGGCAGAAGGGTGGGAGGGAAAATTGTGGTTGGAATGTAAAATGAAATAAAAAATTAAAACATGGAAAAAATAATAACGTATAAGATATGAATTTGATCCTATAGAACAGTCCCACCATCCAGAAAGAAAGAGATGGAATGTGGAATGTTACAATTAGCAGTCATGTCACTATTTTACCAGTGGGCACATTTTATCTGGCAGGTAAGTATTATGCCATGTAGACTTTATTATTATTATTATTATTATTATTATTATTATTATATATTACCCCAGGAGCTTTTATCCTGCTTTCTAGCACTAGTAAAACTGCCCAGTATTGAAGAAATGTCTTGGTCAGTTCAAGATTCATTTGTAGTACTCTTTTTTCAATATTTGGGAATATGGCCACTGATTCTTTTCCAATTCCCCAGTGACTAGCAAATACTCATATACATATATAAAACACCAGTGACTCAGTGGGTTACTATTTCTTTTAAAGAATGTGAAAGTAGGAGGGAGGCAGGTGTGCTGGGGTGGTTAGGGGTTGTTGGGATGGGAGAGTGAGAAATGCATATAATCAATTAGGCAACATACATATATAAAAGTTTCAGAGAATAAATTTTAAAGGACAGAAGAAAGAAAGAAAAAGAGCCTAGCTACTGCAATTGCTGATCCCAAAGCCATTTTACCCATGAGTTTATTGTATATAAAACAGGGAAACATACATGGTCTGAACATCAGAGGACAAGATTTTCCCTTACAAAGGAAGTATTGTCCTTCATTATTTGTAGTGTTAGAAAAGTTGAAAAATAATCTCTTATTTATCCCCAAAGTTAATCAAGAATGTGCTTCCTATTGAAAAAATATTATCAGAAAGCCAAGGGAACAGACTGGAGAATGCCTAGGATGCAGGGTAGAGGGGATAGAAGTACAGGCCACCAGAGCAGAAGGAGAAGCAATGTCATTGATACCTCTAGCCAGCAGCTTCTGTATTTTTGCATATCACAGAAAGCCTCTCTCCCTTCCTCCTTCCCTTTCTTCCTCCCTCAGTCTTAGGAGTAATTTACTTTCTTATCACTGATGAACCTTGTTTTAGAAGTTGCTAATTCTTAAAGACATTCCCCCACATGTAACCAAGTAAGAAGGGCTCATTTGGGCTCATAGAGATTAAAGCAGCAAGCATGAAACCTGCATGGTCTTTACCAGGTTCCGCATGTATGCATTATGGCTGTTAGCCTGATGAATTTGTGGAGTTCCTAACAGTGAGAACTGGTGTATCTCTGACTCCTTTGTCTGCTCTTAGGACTCGTTTCCTCCTATTAGGTTTCCTTGTCCAGATTCAATATGAGGGCCTTTGCTGTGTCTTTTTGTCTCTTGGTTTTCCCTGTTTGGTTTTTGTCTCTTGGAGGCCTGTTCTTTCTGAAAAGTAAATGAATGTGGGAGTGGATCTAGGAGGAGTGGAGGGGGGAAATAATAGTCGGGATGTGTTGTATGAGAGAAAACTCTATTTTAATAAAATTTAATAAAATTAATTAATTGATTCCTACAGAAGGGACTGTTTCAACTAGAGGAAATACTATATAGCGTAATGTGAAAATGAAAAAAAGATTAATTCCTCATTCAAAAGTTAACTCCATATCACACTCCAGGATCAGAATGACTAAAACCAACAAATCATGTAAATAGAATCTTTTCCCATTGTAAATAAAATGAAATTAGTACAACCACTATAGAAAACAGATTGGGGGTTCCTCAGAAAATCACAAAAGTAGCCAACATGAGTCATTTATCCTAACCTTGGATGCATAATCAAAGCAAACAAAATCAATGTCAAAACTTACACCCATGGTACATAGGTATCTCACTCCATTTGCAATTCCCAGCACACTGGGCAGCCAGCTCCAGGTGATCCAGTGACCCCTTCTGTTTGAGCTCATCATATACCTCTCTTGCTACATATAGGTAAGTTAAAACAAGATAATGATACTGTACTGTATATTTAGAAAATTCAGATAAAATGTTTTTGCCTCTTTTCAAAATTACAAAATGATAATGCCCAACTGTGTGGCACACATCTATAATCCCAGGATCTCAGAGGGAGACAGAAGTAGGATGTTGAGAGTCAAGACTGGATCCAGGCTACTTAGTGAGTTGGAGAACAAATGGACTTTATAAATCATGATATCACATCTCAAAATTTGAAATATTATTAAATATTTGAGGAGATATATGCATTTACTCTTGTTTGAATAATACCAAATGCATATACACTACAAAGCATGACATAGTATGTCAAGGGCATGTATAGTTTTGTGTCAGTTATGGATAAATTTAACTTAGATGTAAGTGTCCATGAAGACAGTCACTGCTTTCAAGCTTTTTTTTCTTTTAAAAGCATCTCCACTTTCTTGCATTTTCTTCTGATGTGATCTGAGAGCTTTTCTTTTTTAATGCTTATCTAAAAACTCCAGCCAGTCATTTTCTTCCTGAGTATGTTTATTATTTTCAGTGACCATAATTATTGCCTTTCTGTGAATAGCTATCAAGGAAAAATAAAAAGCACTTTCTCATTTTCCAGAACTTTAATGGCAAGAATTTATTTTAAGAACTGAGTAAAACCTGGACAAGTTCCAGTTAACATCTCTCTGAACACCCTGATTCGCTCCTGTTTCTTAGTCCCACATTGCCTTCCTGGTTTTACAGTCTACGCCCAGACCTGCACTGTTCGAATTTGGGTGAAAAATGGCAAGAAATATGCTAACATACACTGAACAGCCAAATCCCAGTTTAGCTGTATAAATCTCAGCAATATAACCTTTGAAAAACTCTGATGACCTTGTGAATTGACCCAAAACATCAAAGAAGGAGGTAATCCTATGTACAGTTAGAACCCAGGAGACAGTGTTCTCCTCCGCTGAAAGAATGGCCCTTGTGCATTGGTATCTGTTATGGTGGGCTCTTGAGCTCGATGAGGTGCGACTCTTTAATTTAGTTCTATGTACAGCACATTGGGTCCTAATGATCTGGGTTTTCCCTGTTGCCTACTTCACTTTGTCTATAGTGAGGAGCTGAGGAAGGCCAGTAGAAGTCCATTAGAGTGAAGGGCTGGGAAACAGATTCGCATGTGGCCTCAGAAGGCTAACACACCTTGCTGTGGAGTTATATTAAACTGTGGACTTACTCAAGGCAAGTGATTAAGGACTAGTTATTCTGAAGATAAATGTAGTATTATGCTTTAAACTGGAAAACAACTCCATAGAAATGTGATCATAGTTCTGTCTGTCATTGTTGTACAAAATAAAAACCTTTACGTGGATTTTCATAAAACTTGCAGGTTATCTTTAGAATGACCAAATGTAGACTCTAATCTGACAGAATACTCAGTGTTTGCATGTGGATATAGAAGAAGCATTCACCCTCTACTAGGTAACCCTGGCCCACTACCTCTCTCAAGGACATCATCTTCATCATGTTTGTGGTTAAAACCTTAGTCTGGACCTATGCATTGGTTAGTCTTTCATTATACATATATACTCCCCCATATGAAGCACATGGTTTTGGGTGGGTAACATTTCTATGTAGTGAAAATGTTTGAATAAATCTTACCCAAATTTTACAAGATTTCACTTATATTTAAATATCTGAGCAAAGAAGGTGTCAAAGAAGGTTTAATTTGAAAGGAAGTGGAAGCAATAATATGTCAAGCCCACTCTATCTTTCTATTTCCCTCCCAGCCACACAAGTGTTCAATGAGCACCATTCCCAGGATAATTTTCATTGGGGATTGCTTTTTTGTTTAAAAAATGAATCAATTGATCAGATCTATTTACCCCTTCCTCTGTTTCTTTTTTTTCTCTCTTCCTGGAACTTGTTGTGTAGCTGACTATGACTTGAACTTTTCTCTCTCTTGTCTCTACCTCTAAAAGCTGGATTACAAGCATACCCTGTTCATGCCTCTGTGGCAGTGCTGGTTATTAACCATTGGACTTCCTGTATGCTAAGAAAATAGTGCCCCACTGAACCACATCCCTACACTCTTGTGCTTACATATTCACTGACTTAGTGATAGATAAAAATGTTGCCTCTATACTAACAAGCTTTTCCAGGATGTTTCTGCTAATTCCTGAACTATATTTTCTCATTCTGTGCTAAACCATGTAAAAACCCTTAAAAAATTTTTTTTTTTTTTTTTTTTTTTTTTTTTTTTTTTTCTTATTTGGGTTCTATTTCATAATCCTAAACTTAACTCGGCATTTCAGCTAGACTTGGAGGGGAATGTGGAAAATACGGAACACAAAGAACTTCAGTGAGAGATTACAGGGCATTGTGAGCGGATGGGGTGGGAATGCTCTCATGAGCTACAGAAGGAATAGTCTGGTAGGTAAGAAGCCCGCAAGTCAAAAGAATTAGAGTTGTCCACAATCAGAAATGGTGATCTTCTTGCTGGTCTTGCCATTCTTGGACTGGAAATGCTCCATGGCTTCCACAATGTTCGTGCCTTCTTTCACCTTCCCCAAAACCACATGTTTGCCATCTAGCCACTCAGTCTTGGTAGTGCAGATAAAATACTGGGAACCATTTGTGTTTGGTCCAGCATTTGCCATGGGCAAGATGCTAGGACCTGTACACTTTAAGATGAAGTTCTGATTCTCAAATTTCTCTCCGTAGATGGACCTGCCGCCAGGGCCGTAATGGCTTGTGAAGTCAACACCCTGGCACATGAATCCTGGGATAATTCTGTGAAAGGAGAAACCCTTGTATCTAAATCCTTTTTTTCCATTGCTCAGAGCATGAAAATTTCTTTGGAACTTTGTTTGCAAATAGTTCGAAAGAGATGCGGGCCAAGGCCTCGGCATCGGCTGTAATGTCTAAGAACATCATGGGGTTGACCATGGCTGCGGGAAGAGGCAACAGGGGATAGCGGAGTCTGCAAAGACCTTAGAAAGGTGTTTTAACCCGACCTTTTGGAAGCCTCCTTTGTATCTATTATATGATCTCTGTGAACTTTTCTTGGTCTTATAACTCCTTCCACCACTTCCTAGCACAATAGTTAGAAAACCAATGGAGATCTACATCTGGTTTTGGCAACCGTCCAAGCACCCTTTCCTTCTTCTCTGTAGAATTATTTAAATCACGTATGCTATGTATCACAACTGACAGGAATTTTATTTTTGAGGTAATGCTTTTCACTTGATCTCATTACAGGTTAATCTTCTAGTAGCTTTGATGTTCTCGATGCTAATCACCAGAAAATCTACCCCTATATTCTAGAAATATCATAAAAAGACTATGGGCATCAAGCATCGTTTCTGTTTACAGAACTTATAGAACATAAATAGTGAGTGAATGACTTACAGAGAACTGGTAGGGTAGATGCAAGAATCAGTTGCAATTACAATATAATTAAAAACAGCCAATCAGGTAAGATATCTTCATATCAGAGCATAGAAGCCATACATTTACAGAAGAGCTTAGGGATTAGTATGTTGAAGAGGTTAATTGCAAGAATAGCATAAATTAGTAGATCCCCCTCTCAATTTTTCATCATAAAATCATTCCTTTCATCTGTCTGTAGTTTAACATATCCCTACATAAATTTGAGAAGCACATTTATTCCTTCTTTATATTCAAGTTGTTTCCTGATATTAAGTCCATTTGTATCAACTCACTGTGTGTGCTCCATATTTTAACTCTGTAATTTGTTTTTAGGTGTTACGCTTAGGAACACCTATAAGAAAACACAAAATGCTCAACTTGGCATCTTGCAACTATTCTTACCCACCTGTTTACTTTAAAGGCTTTGAGAATGTAATCTTGTAATTATACTAGTTTTATTAGTTTAGTCCATATGTTTGCATGTTGTATTACTAAGATTTTCAGATTTATGTTTTCCCCTGATCTTTACAGGATTCCTTTGGGTAGGAATGACAGGTGTTTTTCACTTCATTGTTTGATATAGTAATTAGCTCTAAAGAAAGAAAGCTTTGTAAAGGAATCCATAACAAAACTGTTGGCTGGGCTGCAATTAGAATCTCTGTCTTCTCTGGTACATTCAAATTCCATAGCATAATATTGTTCTGTTAAAAAGTTTTTCTTGCTTTTTCACTAGCTTCAAAGATTTATATTGTTCTGTGTCATATAAAATGTGGAACACCTACAGCTGCAGTCTATCTAAGTGTCAAAGGAAGCATTTTTCACTTTGATGCTAACATGTTTTTTTGTCTTAAGATTACCTACAACTTCATGTAATTACTATGACCTTTAAGCTACAGAGGTGAATTTTCTGCTATATTTTATTTTATGCTTGTTTTACACTGAACCTCCTGAAATATTTGAAGAACCCACAATAAAGAATATGTAAAATATGGCCAATAAGTCCCAATTCAAACAAGAACACCTCTATATTCAGATAGAGTTGACAACTACAGGAAGACCCTTTTATTGTGGATCCAGTACTGGGTTCAGCGCTTGGTATGAGAGACTTCATAATGCTGCTGCAGCCAAGTGCTGAGTTTACTTTAGACCAAGTATAACAGAGAAAGAGGAAGATAGAGAGAGAAGAGAAGACACAAAGGCAGAGATAAAAGAAAAACAAATATGTGTGTTTTTTATTTATATTTTGCCATCATGGGTCTGATTATATTATGCTCATTTACATTTGAGAATTACTATGCATTATCACATTATTTCTGAATAACCATGTTGAATAAGAACTATGATGATATCTTATTACTAATGATTTATGTTATTAGTTTTTTTGTATATTTATGTGTGCCACTGTGTATTTTGTGCAAACAAATGTGTACATGATATTTTGTTAAATTTACAAAAAGCATTTGAGGTCAAAATTCAAACAGTAAAGAAACTGCAAGGCGTCTATTGTGTTAAACAAATAATAAAGAAGAACATTCACAGCTTTGATTTCCTCTTCTTGGCTTTCCTAATACATGCTGGTGGCATGCTTGGCACTGGAGTCCATCTTGAGATTGGACTCATTCAATTCAACTAAAACAGCCATTGTTTTAGTTGTTTTGAATAATGACTTATTGGATTTGACTCCTGATTTTGCTTCTTAACACATTCGGGGAAACCTTTGGAGGAGTTCAGTGCCACTGTACCATGCCAGCATACATTGCTCCAGTTATATGCTTTTGTGTCTTCTGTTGGATTATTTCCATCCCACAATTAGCCCCAATATGAGTGCTGGTGTGTTGGCAGGGCACATTCAGCAACTGACCAAAGTAGTCTAGCATTCTTCTCATCTTCATTATGTTTCTGACAAATTTCTTTTTATTTGTAGATCTGTAATTTCTCTTTGTATTTTAGAGAGTTAAGTTTAGAGTCCCAATGACTGCCAATCTGTTGTTCCTTCTTTAATCATGTATATGTTCTATGATCCCTAAAATATGAAAGATAGCACCACCATTTGTGTGTAGAGGGAGGTACCTAACTTCTAGAGTCTCTAATGTAGCCTCACCACATTGACCAATCTCACTAATAAAGGGTTCCAACTCTCCTCAAGTACTCACCCTACACTTCCAAACACTCATGCCATTTTGATTTAATTAAAATGTTTAATGTTTTGGAAATTTCATGTAAGAGCATTGTGTTTGTATCACTTTTACCTGTCCCTTTGACCCATCCAGCTGCTCTTGCATCCCCCAGATCCTTCTCAAATTTGTAAACACTTCTTCAAATATATATGTACACACACAGAGACCCACGCACACACACACCTAACCTTCTGAATCCAGTTAGTGTTCCTTGTACACTCATGGACTTGTGTTTGCGGATGGCAGGTTTTGACTGGATAATGTATCTGGGCATTCTTCCCTGAGGAATAGTGTTTCCCCTTTCTGGGAAACCATTGAGTGATTGCTGCTCTTCATCTTGGCATAAGGAATAGTGAAAATTCCCCTATCATGTTGTCATGTCAAATTGTATGGTCACTATGCAGGTCTTATTCATACAACCATGTTTTTCAAAAAAATAATATACTTGTGTAAGTCTAATTTGTTTTACTTAGCATGGTGATCTTCATTTCCATCATTCTCTAAATGACATAATTATATTTTTGTAGCAAACTAAGGTCTCACTATGTGTGATTCTTTACACACAAAACTTTTTTATCCATTCATAATGTGTCTATGACAGACACATTATGTCCATTAAAACATGAGAATGTTGGTAGGTAAATGATTTCAACTTTCAACAGGTACTGTTGCACAACTACACTTACAAGCATCCCTAAATAGAGCTGTTTCTAGATGATTAGAAACCTCATTGAAAATTCTTTGCTGACATGTTTGGTGAATGAAACTAGTAATTAAATTTACTGAGGATATTTTCAGTGTAGGGTCTTAAGTACATGGATCTTTATTTGTCAAAACACATTTTAATCAAATACATTATAATTCCTTTAAACTTGTATGTGTGTGTGTCAGGGAAAATATGAAGCTCAAGGTCAGCCTTGGGTGTTGCTCCTCAAGCATCAGCCAACTTTATTTTTATATAGTATCTCTCACTGGTGTGGAGCTTCCCAAATAAGGCAGCTACTGAACTTCAGGAACTTTCCTTTCTCCTTCTCCCTAGTGCAGGCACTACTAGGATATGCTGTCCATGGTGCCTTTCTTCACATGGTATCTTGAGCTCAAACTCAGGTTCTCAAGGTTGCAAAGCAAGTACATTCCTGTTCAGTGTATATTTATTTATTTATTTATTTATTTATTTATTTATTTATTTATTTTCCATCTTTATGTGGCTCTTTAAAATAAATTCTATTTATATTAGAAACAATCTTATTTTACATATCAATCTCAGTTCCCTCTCCCTCCCTTCCATGCCCCCACCGACCCCCCCATCCCATCTCCCATACACTCCCCAGGGAAGGTGTTCCCTCTCCCTCCCTTCCATGCCCCCACCGACCCCCCCATCCCATCTCATGGAAGGGGAGGCCTTCCATGAGGGAGCATAAAAATCAGTGAAGGTATTTGGGGAAGGGCTTAGGCCCTCCCCTGTATATCTAGGCTAAGAGAGTATCCCTCTGTGGGAAATGGGCTCCCGAAATTTGTGACTTCACTATGGATACATCCTGGTTCCACTGCCCAGTGGCCCATAGAATCTGCCCATTGCTCCTAGCTGACAGCCACATTCAGGGGGCCTGGATAGGTCCTATATTGGTTCTCAAGCTGTCTGACTTGGGGCCATGGATTCCCACTTGCTCAGGTCAGATGTTTCTATGGGTTTTCCCAAAGTTTAAACTCTTGATATTACATGGGAAAAAAGCCATCAGGCTAAAAATGGATTTCTCATTTTATAGTATAGAATTTGTCCTAAAACACAGATATTCAGAGGAAGATGATTGCCTAGAATTTTATCAGCAGGATATACAGATCTGAGAGTCATAAGTACAGCTTTGTAATCTATCATGATAAGATAGTGCTCTACTGCTTCTATTTGAAAAACATATGCTACTAAACATAATGCCAAACATATATGGTGTTGTCAAATATAGTTTCCCATATCTGTTATACTAATACTCTGGAGACTGTGAGAAGACAGCACAGTGTGGTCTACATTGAGCATCATGGGCTAAACAGACAAGTTTCAAGATAATAAAAACATTAATGATAAAGACAATGATAGGTGACTATATGGATTGTGAAAATGAAACAGAAATAAATTTGCTCTATACCAGCATTCGGCGAGCTTTATTCATAAAGGGCAAAGTAATAGATTGAACTCCAATATCTGTCTCTGAGTTTTTATTTTTCATGTTACAACAAATGTTGGATGGATGGCATTTTTAAAGTGAGTTCACCATTGCTTCCACTAGTCACACCCTCCTCTGTTTCTTGTTTGCTTGTTTTGTTTTCTATCAAAAGAGAATCTAG